CAAGTTTGGGGGTGCGACAAAGTCTCTTGCAAGTTGGCTTGTGCAAGTTTGGCTGTGCGACCTTTCTCGCGCAAGTTGGCGCGCGCAAGTTTGGCAGTGTGATTGCTCGTGCAAGTTGGCTCGTGCAATTTGGCGAAGCAATCAATTCTTGTGCAAGTTGGCTCGTGCATGTTGGCTCGTGCAATTTGGCTTCTGCAAGTTTGGCTGTGCGATAAGGCTGGCGGTTTTACCGGAAGAGCCCGTCGCAATGCTTCCGGGGAAAAACTGGCAAGCAGCCATTTGCAACGGACTGGCAGGCAGGCAGGAAGGCAGCCAGGCAGGCAGGCAGGCAGGCAGTTAACTAAACAGTAACCAACAGCAAAACCTGCGCTTCTTCACTGTTCACTTTTTGGGACAGTTTCCGCAAAAACCAATAGTAGCACAAGGAGGCTTGCGCTTCTTCACAGTTTGCTGTGTTGGAACAGGTCCCTCAAGAGAAGCTAGGCCTGCGCTTCTTCACAGTTACAGTTTGCTTTCTTGAGACAGCAAACAGTAACCAACATGCGCTTCGTCAGTGTTTGCTTTGTTGGGACATGTCTAGCAAAAGCAGAGAGCCTGTCAAGCTTGTGTAGAAGTTACTAAATGCCTTAAACAATTAACACTGTTTTGGGTCATTGAAGGAATGAAGTACAGTGTTTGTTCTACTTAGGCCCCCAGAGTCACAATCTAAACGTCCACGGGTGAGTGATTTGCACTGGGAATCGGGAAAGTGAGGCGGATGGAGTAGGGGGTGGGGGCAACTTGCGTTGAGGAGCCCAGAGGATGAAACCCGAAATGTCGGGACACCACTGCAATGGTCAAGTATTGAACGAACTTTTTGCAGCATTGGCTCAAGACATGTGTGCATCTTCCAGGAACACGTGTGCCGAGGCTTCGTGTGGAATGGCCACGGATTCAATGAAGGATGGGCTTGTGCCCCGGAATGGAAATGGTTGATGCAGTTTGACTGACCTTCCTTCACTTGACGGCGAGAATTGTTAGCAAAATTCTGCAGTGCCAGCACGAGGAGGTTTCTTGGCCTGAGGCTTGATAGATCTGCCACCTATTTGACAAACTCAACTACCGAGACCTAGCTTTGTCCTCCTCGCACTCAGATTCTCTTTGCAAAAACATACCTGGTGTGAGTCGAGTTTTATTTTTTGACTGCTACGCTTAGGCAAACTTGCGTCGCAGATGCGATAGCTTGGACGCCAGTTAGATTCTGCCGCTTGGAACTTTTTGAGCCGTCCAAAAGCAGCACAGTCTTAGCCGCCGTGCGGCGCGTGCGGGCCCTTGATGCGTTTTGCGCCTTTGTCGCGGAGTCATGGCCTGGGGCTGCTGCGTTTGGCCTTCCACCACCCAGACTCCGGCAGTTGCGTTGTAAGCGGACGATGGCTTTAGCCAGATTCGCACCGCGCCCGCTCTGAGAAGGTGGGTGGCTCGTCGTTTTGTGAGTACACTTTCCTGGTTCGCTTGAAAGGGAAACCACAAGGCAAACCATCATTTTCGGGGTCCCCTGTTGCAAGACGCGCCATGTGTCAAAGCAATATTGTGCGAACCCGAGGCCAACGACGTTTTCGCATAGCAGCCGCTTTTGACTTGAGCCGCAGGCGCCGTTAAAGTGAGACAAGCGCCAAATGTTTGCGCGGCCTTCAGGCTCTCGGCGCCTATGGGAAAGTGGGCTATTGGTCTCTGTTCGACAACCTGACCCTGGCTTTGGTACAAAGCTCACCGTGGCACATCGCCAGCCGCTGCAGTTCCCCGCAGATTGCCAGGTGTCGTTGGCAGGCGTTTTGCGTCGCAAGTCCTTGCTTGCGCTGCTGAGCCCCACGGCTCGGACGCTGCTCCAAGATGGGCGTCAAAGATGCGCGCAAAGTGTTGAGCCCAAAAGCGGGCATCAAAAAAAGCCAAACCCTAGCCGCTTCTTAAAAATGAGCATCAAAAATACACACAAAATATTAAGCCCAAAAGCAAACATCAAAGCATGCTTGTCACTCACGAGCAATCAGCGCCCGCTGAGCAACCGGATCAGACGCGGCAGGTTTTTTTACCTTAAAGCGAGGGCTTGCAGCCAGGTGCCGGTCAAGCTTGGCCACAAGATTCATAGTGCTATCTGGGCACATCCGCATCATCAAGCGCTGCCAATTTAGGCCCGGAACACCTGCGACGCTTGTGCGCCTGGGCGGGACAGCTTTTGGGAAAAGCGTAGAAGGCAACTCATGTTTTTTTGACGCACATCCTCGGACTGTTGGGCCTCTGCAGCATTTGCCCATCTTCCATGGCGCAAGGGTTGCCAACTCTTCGAGGCATCGAGCTCTGCAAGCTCGCCAAGCGGTAAAAAGGCGCCCAGGCGGCCGAGCCTTTGGGCTCTGTGCTCAGCGGAGCTCCGAGTTGGTGGGGTCGCCCGTGTTTCGAGCTCGGGCCCGAAACGAACTTGCAAGTAGCTGGCAGTCGTTAGGCGTTTGTGCCGTGGAAGATGGGCAACGCCACAGAGCGCGCGTGCTGTTTTCAAAAGTTCGAGGACGGGCGTCAAAGCGCCTGTCAGGCAGCTGATGCGCAGCGCCAGACCTTGACTGGGCAGTTGCGCCGAGATGGCCTCTGGAGCTTGCGGCACGGCCTGGCCGAGCCACTGGTGTCAACTTGCCTCTGTGCTCAGCGTAGATCCGAGCTCGGCCCATGAGCACTTGTTTCGGGCTCGGAGTGGTTGGCCTCGATACGAGCTGGCAAGTAGTTGGCAGTCGTCCGGTGCTTGTGCCATGGAAGACAAATGCTACAGGGCGTACGTGCTTGTGCTTTGGCGCCCAAAAGTCCCAGGCTGCCCGTCAACGTGCGCGAGTTGCCTGGAACAGTGCTCCGTGTTGAGCTCAGTGACGTGATAGGCTTCCACAAAAGACAGTCCCATGCGCCCAAGCGCCACAGAAAGTTTTCAAGCAGTTTCCTCCTTGCCACCCAGATTGGACAGCGCTTGAGACGGATACGCCCAGATGGGCTACGCTTGGCCCCAACTTGCCTTTGTGCTCGGCGTAGCTCGGAGCTAGGGCGACCTGAGCACTTCCTTCAGGCTCGGACTTGGGCTCAACACGAAGTGGCAGGTAGTGGGCAGTCTTCAGGTGCTTGCTTCGTGGAAGATGGGCAAATGCTACAGGGTGCACGTGCCCGTGCTTTGGCGCCCAACAGTCCCAGGCTGTCTTTGTCAGTGCTTCTTGTTAAGTCAGTGATATTCTTCCAAAAAAACAGTCCCTGTAGGCCATGCGCACACGCGCCGCAGAAAATTTTGTGAAGCTTTTTCCTCCCTGGAAGCTCCAAGAACTGCAAATGGGGTGAGGCTGAGTCAGGACAGAGCGTGCGGCTCACAAGCCTGTCAGGCGCTGAAGTAGGTTACAGCAAAGCCGAAAACTGCAACATCACACGGCAAACATAGAGCCGCTAAAGCTATAGGTTTTTTCACCGAAGCCCTGCGGAAGCTCATCCAGGCCAGCGGTTGTGCTGTAAAGCCATTCGCCCATTGACACTTGTGACTGTTCCGACCACGTGCCTTCCTCCAAACTCTTGTGACAGCCAACTATGCTTAACCAAGAGCAACCTTCTAGCAGCTCGCAGAAGCATTTTGATAGATGATGCTTGCAGGATGTCCCCTTGGGCGCACGGAAGCAATCAGCAGCTCCAACTGCAGTCGACTTCCCCTCCGCCCTCACGGCCAAATGTGATGATTGAACATTTGAAACTCCGAAATGCAATTCAAACCATGCACAACGTTGCAACTTCTGAAGGATGAACACCGACCGGCTTTTCAAACATCCATGTTTTGTTCGCAAAAGTGTATTGGGTTGCATCAACCCGAAAAATCTTGTGTGGACAGTGGGCACACGTGCTGCCACAAAGTACCATGAGCCAGCACCAAGGAACGACATGCCCCTTGACAATCAGCTAAGTTCTGCCAGACAGGTTTCTAGATGGGGGTTGGCGGGGCATGAGTTGTGCAAAAGGATGAAAACGCGGTGTGGGTCTTATGATCAGGTTGTTTGATTATGATGTCTGTCTCTGTGTGTGCTGTTTTCGCGGACCACGCCATGATGTCAAAAGAGAATGGAGGTAGTTTAGAACACCACTCGCATCTTGCTTGAAACCAAAGCGGGCGGTGCCTGACACGCTTAGATGCACCAAGTCCTTTGCTTGATGGCGAGTGCTAGGCGGTGCATCTTGGAGCACATGGCCCCAGTTTTGTCAAGCCTCAACTCATGGTGCCGACTTTGTCTTCGTCAAGCCCAGCATAGCTCCGACCCGGCAGTAGATGGGCAGCTGGTCAGATGCGCTTTTCATTGGACCCCGGGTATGAGTTTCGTGAAGCGGGAGGGTGAGATGCCGGGCTTCAATGCTTCAATCCATTTGCTTCAGAGCAGCGTGTCTTCGCCCTCCAAATTCAGGCTGCTTTGCATGTTTGCGCCCAAAGATTTGTGCAAAGGCAACTTGTTGTAAGTCAAAAGTGAGCAGTGAAAATAGACGTTTTCAGCTGGCTCAGAGACTTGCCTGGAAACAAAGGGGCGCCCACTTTGGAGGGTCACCCATTTGGAGATGCCGTTGATAGCGGTTTCAAAAAGCAAACAAGGCGAGGCACGTGTACGCATTGCGCAGCGTCTGAAGCCTTAATGCTTTGACCCAGCCTTGACTATGGCCACGTGCTTTTTGAGTTCGCGTGGATGCCCAGGTGCAGATGAGAAGCCAAACCCGGATTGCTGCTTGAGGCTCCGATCTAGATGACCCAACGATCAACATGACCCAACGAGCACTTGCCCAATGATTCGGCTATGGCTGCCCGAGAGCTTCTCGTCCCTGAACGTTTGAACGTGCTCAAGGAAGCACATTACTTCCGATTCAGCTCCAAAGATGAGCGTCAGAAAAGCTTTGTCTTACACGCGTGGTCGACGCGCACAACTCCCCCAGGTCCTCCCCAGCCTCCCCGTCTGCGGCTGCGCGAGCGCCAGGTCCGACGAGGACACGCTGTCGCTGCCAGCGAGTACCAAGTCGCTGTGGGAGTGCCGCCGGATCGTGGACTCCATCGAGGCGAGAGGTTCGTCGTTGGTTTTGCAGTTTCGGTTTCACGGAGAGGGTGGGACAGTTGGATGGGGAACTCTGATCGGAAGAAAAAGCCAAAAGGGGGAACCCGGTTGAAGATCCCAAACATATGGTTGTCGAGATGGTCAGATCCCCCAAATGCGCGCGATTCCTAGATGTAGCACGGGACTCTATGATCTTGCCGGGCTGCTTGGAAGGAGCCACTGAATCTAGAGCGCAGCTCCGGCCGAGACTGCTTCCTGCGAAACCTTCCCGTGGGACTCGTGGTTTGCACTTCTGATGGTTCAAAAGTGTTGGCACAGGGCTTTGGCGCTAAGTGTCCAACATGGAGGCAGAGTTGTTAAAATTTAGCTGAGAAAAAAACTGAGAGGCGTGTGAATTCCCTCTGGCGAGACATTTGGAGACGGCTTGCCTTGTGATGCCCGCTCTTGGTTTGGGGCTGATGGGCCGGAGGTAAGTCATGTACTCCTTGGTAGCAGCTCTAGGCTCTATGTGAATTTTTGCTACGAACCTACAGGATGGCCCGGTCCCTTTGGCGGAGTTCAACCGAGGAAATTCCCATCGGGAGCTTTCATGGGCCTGGAAACCAACGCTGTTGCTTTGAAGGCAATGCAAGCCGCACAGCCCCGTCTCAGGGCTGGAAGTCTAAGAACCATTCTGGTCGGAGCTCGTATGGTCCAGCCTTCTGGGGGCTTGTAACCATCCGGGACTTTCAAATCCAAATCCGGGTTCCCTTCGCGGCTGTGCTTTGGCTTCGCGAGGCCTTTTTTTTGCTCGGCCCTCTTCGTCCGACCAGTTTGGGCTGACTCGTGTGTGTGTGTCTCCAAGCCAGAGCAACAAGCTCGAACAAGTGGGGCGGTTTCCCCTTTCGGTTTCCCTTTTAGACCCCACTCAAAAAAAGATAACTCCAAAAAAGACGAGCCATCCAGTATGTATCCCATGTTGACTTTGAGCGTCCCCTTCGTCGGCACCAGTTCCGTACCATGGACCCGATGTAAGGCTCGTCAAGAAGGGTTGGCGACATATTGCATATCTTGTGAATCACGTCTGAAAGGCTCTAGCTTTGGGCATTGCCTTTTCCGTTGGCATTGGTGTAGTTGTTGCCCATCGCTGCTTAATAGGCTGACTGGTTGGGACACTGTCCTGACACATAGACCATTCGCATGTGCTTTTGCCGGCCGATGCTCGGGGTGTTTTTCCTTGAACAACCAGACAAGGTAGTGGACTGATGGCACCAAATTGCCCGGGGACAATTTTGCGAAAAGTGGACAAGCCAATTCCCGGCATTTCGGGTGTCCAGGAAGAACAAACACATCCCAAGGGGAATCAAAAAGCGTGCCAGGTGGTGTGCTCCCAGAAGCCTCGGACATACGAGGGCCAGGACTGTGTATGGCCAAGTGTGTGTGTGTGTGTGTGTGTTTATGTGTGTGTATATCTATGTGTGTGTGTGTGTGCCATTCTTTTACAAACAAATGTAGGGCACCCATTTTTTCAGGTAGCCCTGAATCGGTGGTTTGGACTTGTGGTTTGGGGGTTTGAAATCCTGTTCTTGTGGGTACACGGGAAACCAGCAATCCAAACCACCAATTTCAGGGACGCTGGTCAGGTGGGCTTAAAGGGACACCACAAGAAACACCACCAATTTTGGTTGATACGCTGGGATATGGCATGCCTGGAGTGGTTCACAAGGGAATTTAAAGGGCAGCCACTCATGTTGAGGTTGCCTCATTGAAATGACACGCCCATGTATATCAACGAATACATTTGTATGATAACTATTTGAATGCCATGCACCCCACAACGTGTATATGTCTATATATATATATATGCATATATTGAGAGGGAGAGAGAGAGAGAGAGAGAGAGAGAGAGACAGAGTCATTTTTTGTTGATCCTGTTTTTCTTTTTCGCTCGCTCTTTCTTTCTTTCTTTCTCTCTCTCTCTCTCTCTTGCACGAGCTCGTCTTTTTTTAGATGTAGATATATATTCGCGCATGCCTACGTCTAGCCAGTTGTTTTGTTCCAGAGGAGTTTTGGATCGCCATGTGGCGACTGCTAACACTTTTCTCACGTCGACCGCCTTTCATGTCAAACATTACCTTCTTCCAAGCCAGGGGCACCGTACTCTCACCTTCCCAAGCCCGCCTATCCACCAATCCATCAGTGTTCTCTGTCAGATTCCACATCCAAGGGTACGAAGGACCGATGTAAGAAGCAACTGAGGTTAAGTGTTGGGGCATTGTGACCAGCCATGTTGAGTGAACCGCCGCTTGCAATGGCCTAGCGTTCAACAACCTTGACCAAGCTTGACTGTAAACAAGCTGTTGATACAGGATCTTGCAAGCATCTCAGAGCAAGTCTCGACACACTCTACGAAGCTAGGCCAGCATATGGACCTGAGCCAATTCGTAGGGATCCAGCGCTTTTTGGCA